TCTCTTTGGTCCAATGCTGTTACACACAATGCTGATGCAGGCTGGATCAAGGAGGAGAACAGAAATCTGCACAACATACCAACTATGCCGTGCTGAAATAAACGTACACAACATCCGCTACGCTGTTAACAGAACACACAACTGGAAGACACCTGGTGTAGACAACATTCACAATTTCTGGTACAAAAAGTTTACATCACTGCACCAGGAACTAGCTAAACATCTAACACACATCATCATCAATCCACAAGACATGCCAAAATTTCTTACTCAGGGCATCACCTACATGAAACCTAAAAACAACAACACCACAGACCCCACACAATACAGACCAATTACATGTCTTCCAACACTCTACAAATTATTGACATCCTGTATCACAAACAAAATATACAAACATGTTGAAGAACATGACATCCTTACAGAACAACAAAAAGATTGCCATAGAAATCACAGGGGATGCAAAGAACAGTTACTCATAGATTCAGTCATTCTACGACAAGCACACAGACAACACAGAAACATACACATGGCATATATAGACTACAGAAAAGCATTCGACAGTGTTCCACACAGTTGGCTGCTACATATTCTACACATGTACAAAATACATCCATCACTCATTGCACTCTACCAACACACTATGCAGCAGTGGAGAACAACACTTGCATCTCAGGGTTAGTAACAATTCCATACAAACAAACGAAATATTCATTAGGCGAGGAATTTTTCAAGGAGATTCCTTGAGTCCTCTCTGGTTCTGGCTAGCCCTGAATCCATTATCCAACATGTTAAACAACACGCATTATGGCTACAATATCAGACATGAAAAAACAACACAGTTTACGCTGTCACATCTCATGTACATGCACGACATAAAACTTTATGCATTTACACAAAAACAACTTCATCAACTCCTACAAATCACGCATTCATACACTAAGGACATACGAATGGAGTTCGGTCTAGACAAATGCAAAACACCTCACATAGAAAAAGGAGTCCTGAAGAAAGAAGATTTTGCACTTGGAAATAGAGACATTATTGAATCCATGGAAGAGGGCGAGTTCTACAAGTATTTAGGATTCCAACAGGCCAAACTAACAGAACATACACAAATAAAGCAATGATTAATTAAAGAATACCAAAGTAGGTTAAATGCTATCCTCAGAACACAGTTAAATGCAAAACACACAGTTAAAGCAATAAACACATATGTCGTCCCTGTACTCACATACTCCTTTGGAGTTATACATTGGACTCACAGATCTTGAGTAACTCCAAAGGAAAACAAGAACAACACTTACTAAGCATAAACAACATTACCCTAAATCCGCCATAGAAAGATTAACCCTTCCACGTGAAGATGGCAGACGTGGCCTGATTGACACAGTTAACCTTCACTACAAACAAATAGTCACTGCAAGAGTTTTTCTACAAGAAACAAGAAACATCACAATTACTTAAAGCAGTAGTTCTAGCAGACCCAAATAACACATCATTAAACTTACACTCACATCATACAGACTTGACACAACATATAAAAAGCATAGACACCATTAAGCAATCGTGGGCTCAAAAGGCACTCCATGGCAGGCATCCTTACGACATGGCCCAGGATTTTGTTGACAAAACTGTGTCAAACAGCTGGTTAGATCGGGTATGCCTCTTTGGGGAGACAGAAGGATTCATGCTTGCCATACAGGATCAGGTCATAAATACTAAAAACTACAGAAAACACATACTCAAAGATACTCACATATGACACATGCAGAAAATGTCACATCATGCCAGAAACTATACAACACATCACTTCTGGTTGCAAGCTCTTGGCACAGAAAGATTATTTACATAGATACAATCAAGTAGCAAATATAATACACCAAGAGCTTGCAAACAAACACAAATTGGCAGACATTCATAAACCATACTACAAGTATATTCCACGGACAGTATTGGAAAACAACATGCACAAAATGTACTATGACAGAGCCATAATCACAGATAAAACAATTTACCACAACAGACCAGACATCACACTCATTGACAAACACAATAAAATCACATACATTATAGACATAGCCATTCCAAACACTCACAATGTACAAAACACATGCACTGAAAAAATTAGCAAGTACACAGAACTCGCCCAGGAAATAAGGCATCTGTGGAGGATGGATAGGGTGCTTATTGTACCTGTCGTTCTCTCCTGTACAGGTGTGATACCACACACACTACACAAAAGCCTGGGAACATTACAATTGAGTAGAAATACATACATCACACTACAGAAGGCCACTATATTGAATACATGCCACATTGTTAGGAAATTCCTGAATACAGAAACACACACTGACACACTTATTTAATTTTAGTTTTGTTTTGGTTGCTATGCCTTGACTCTGGTCCGGCATAGTACACAGCCACCAGTGTGAACCGAGTAACCTACTTAACCCAACACAATAATAAGTGCAGAGCCCAAATGGTTAGGAGCTTAAAGTTGAAATTTGGTACACAGTTAGGGTAAGTCACAAGAATGCACACTAAGAAGGGATTTTTCAAAATTCCTCCCCACAGGGGAGAGAGACAGGATTAAGGATTAACACTTCCATCAACAATGGAAGTGTGAAGTAACAATGAAAGTGTCAAGTAACAATGGAATTGTTAAGAGAAAGCGATGTGCAAGATGCAGATGCAATTTTTTTCATTTTTACAGAAAATTTAACATATTAATAGACCCATCTATATTTTCTCTAATTAGTCTGGAAACAGGGGGACCCAATTCTTGCATTCTGTGAAAACGGGTACGGTTGACTATAATGTAATAACCTCAGTCTTCATTATTGTTACTCTTGTCCGAGCAACGCCGGACCTACCCGCTAGTAATAGCATAAAGGGACAATTTCCTGTGAAACAACAGTACAATTTAAAACAATACCTTGCATGTCCTCCTCTTACCCAGATACATGTAGCAATACAATCAGGCATATAGGCATTATAGGTACTGTATAGCATCCTGCAATGGATTTGTTCACAGATGTTGCAACTTCCATTTCAGATCTTCCAAACTCAGATGACATCCCATCTGGTTCCACAAATATTCACTGTACAAAAAAGCTGAAAACAAAGCCAGACAGGCCGAGGAAGTGTAACATGATGGAGACACGCCTGATAAACCCGAGTTGAATGAAAGGAGCATTTCCTCACTGAAAAATGGAACCCTGCCATGAAAGGCAACAAACATATTAAGAAAAGGATTTCCTGAAAATACTGCTGAACCATCAATGTCCCTTGCAACCACTATTAAAGGTAACTGATAGTTATAGAAGATGGCTATTCAGACCAGTATACTGTGTGACAATGTGTTTCTCAAGTGAAGTGTTCACCAGTGGTTGTCCATTCCCAAACAATCAGAATTTGTTACTAAAACTGATATGTTGCCAATCTGCAGCAGTCCATACTTCTCTGTCTAGCACACTGTAAATGAAGCTGATGATATTGGGATCCTAACAGCAGAATGTTTAGTAGTTGCTGTGCATGCAAATTTGTTCTGCTAGTCACCTGCAAATGGTACAGGAAGAGACTTGTTTCTGTACCATTAGCTTGTCTCTGAATAGTGCATAAAAATGCTATTGCAGCTGTATGTGCTTTTCTCATAATCACCTATGTTGATAGACTGTCTGGGGTATCCAGAACCTGCCTACTATGTATATGTGATCTCATATATTCATTACTCTCAACACCTCCTCACACACAAGTCAGAATGATAGTAAATTCAACAAAATGGCCATCTTGCTTTCCTCATTTCAATGATCCAGCCTTCCTCAAACTCCATCAGCTCTTTAACAGTGTTGTATAGGCAAGCCTAACATTCAAAGATCTCCAGACAACAATTGCAATGAAAATTCTGAATGCAGTAAACATCTGCAAACTTTTTATAGGATACTGAGATAGCAATTTTAAGGCACTCTGGTGACGTTAAGTGGCATGTAATGTAATTAGGCGACAACAATAATTATTTATATATCTGTTCTGAGAAACAGAATTGTTCAATTACTGCAAAACTTGGCATATAGATGTCCGAGTGTATAACTTTTTTGTCAATAAGTGTATTTACGTTGAAGTATATATATAAACTTAATATTTAATTTAAACAGTTTTTTGAAATTTAAAAATAAAAGAATAAATTCATTGCTTTTAAACAAATTATTGTAAGTTTGAATTTTCACAATTATTTGAAAACAAATTCTAGTAACTTACTTAGTAGAAATCATTTCATCTTGAGATCTTCTTACTAAAAGAACAGGACCTGAATATCTAAAATAAAAAATATTAAATGTTTTGCTTAATATATGCACATACACAATATAAAACTTATACATGTATATTAAATGACACCACAGTTTTTCTTACATACTTGCACAACTGTTCTCCATTGTTGAGATTCATGTAATCTCTTATTGTTCTTACAACTAATGGTTCTACAGAATATAAGTTTTTATTTTTACATTTAATTTAATTTGTAAAATAATTAATCAATAAATAAATCATTATATTATATACTAAGAGTTTTAGCAAAATTAATGATTTTTATCTTAAAATTTATTTATTTAAATAAAGTTTAATAATATTTTTTAAAATTTGGTAATAGGAATTATTTTTGAAATCTTTCAATTAATTTGTATAAGATTATTTTTCTTTAATTAATTTTACATTACATTTTTAATTCCTATATTTATACTAAATTAATTTTCAAATTTAGTCACATTTAACACATCAATTTAAGAACTTGAGAAATATATTTGTATTAAAGAATCCTTGCACACAGGAGTAATATGAAAATTAATCTCTTAAAAACCTCTAATCAGTGTGTAGTATGAATAATTGTCCAAGCAAACGTTTTCGGATCCCTCCTGGGTCCTTCTTCAAGCTACTATTCATCTGTAATGATCAATTAGAACAAAGACCAGTAGTTATGGAACAATGTTTCAAATTGCAAACCTCGAATTCCAATGGGAATCACATGCATTCCAGGATTCGTAAATTACAATCATGATGCAATTATTGGTTTTTATAATGTGATTTTTGGATTTTTTTATACAAATAGAAATATAAATTTGCATTAACGGGTCAGATATCGTGTAAATGATTATGGAAATATCCTTGTTATTATAAGTATTACTGCAAACAATTCAACAACAACCTGTATGGCCTTACTATCGAGCTTGAACAACATAATGATTCATCAGTCCATTTCTTGAACATAATATTGAATTTGGAGGAGATACCATAAGCACATCTATTTATCGCAAGACATCTGACTTCCCAACATACATTCTGGTGGACTCCTGTGACCCTTTCAGATATAAATTAGCAGCATTTAGAGCACTTGTTAAAAGGGCCCACATGTACTGCTCTACACAGAAGGCTTTAGATCAAGAATTAAAGAACAGTCGATCCCCCTATAAGATGGTAGATACGTTCCGTTCTTTATGAATCGATTTCTTACGAGTCCTTGCCAGTCACAGCCTGACACGTGTGAAGTTTACAAACTACGGCTGTTTGAAAGGTTTTCTTCCATAAAATTAATCGATCCTAGACTAATTTGACTCAACATTTCCAAAATACGTATATTTTTTTTGGGAATAATCCGTATAAACTACGCTATAAACAAAAAATTGTAGGATTACTTACCGAGTGTGCACCATTCGACATCGGCGTTGCTCAAGCTTGTTTTCATCGCAGAACAGCGCAGCAAACCGCGGCCGCGATTTCTGATGTTATTTTTCTGCAAAAACTTCGTTGAACTTTGGAGACATCATTAATATAAATAATTTTAATCACTGTTGAATAAGAAATGTTTCATTCACAAGAAATGTATAAGATTATAGATTATAGTGCTGTATCAGACTTACGGTACCTAATTTACATATTGTACAGACGATAGCTCACCTAAACTGTTCGTAGCGTGGCGCTAGATGGCGAAAAGTATATATATATAATTATAATAAAGTTACAATAAATTAAGTTAATATATAATTACATATACAGTACCTAATTTATATATAATTTATATATAATTATATGTATGTACAGACGATACTAAACTCAATTTACCCGCCTAAACTGTCCGTAGCGTGGCGCTGGACGGCGGAAAGTAGTTCGGCTGCCCAATGACGTTTTACGTAATTATAGGAGTTTTTTTACCGTTAGATGTCACATTGATGTTCTTTCCATCTGACTCCAACTGGAGGCAGATGGAAAGAGCAATGGCCTTTGTGGCGCCTATGTACACTAAGTCCCTATTGCATCTATGGTCTGTGAGAGGCACTGCATAGACCCCAGGTAGTTTATCTTCACTAGGTTTGTCTTTCTAATTGTGTAGATGAAACAAAGAGGAGCATCATCTGTACACCACACGTGCTCCTTGTTGTCATGCAATTTTTTGATATAAGGATGTAAGGATTTTTTGATATAAGGATCCAACACAACAGGGGTTCCACGTCATTATCTATATATGCTTCAGATCCAGAGATTTCAGCAGACTTCTCAAATGCCAAACTCATTATCACAACATTGTATGTGGACCACGTTAAACAGTTGGAACAAATCAAATCTGCATAGCCTAAAACACATCTTCTCCCATCAATTCTAGGGATGAAATTACCCTATCCCTTGATTGGCAAGCCCTGTTCCATAAAGAAGGTTCGCATTAAAAAAATTTAGTAATACTTATAATAACAAGGATATTTCCACAATCATTTACACGATATCCAACTCATTAATGTAAATTTCTATTTCTATTTGTATAAAAAATCCAAAAATCACATTATAAAAACCAATAATTGCATCATGACTGTAATTTACGAATCCTGGAATGCACATGATTCCCATTGGAATTCAAGGTTTGCAATTTGAAACATTGTTCCATAACAACTGGTCTTTGTTCTAATTGATCGTTACAGACGAATAGTAGCTTGAAGAAAGATCCAAGAGGAATGCGAAAACGTTTGCTTGGACAATTATTCATACTACACACCGGTTAAAGGTTTTTAAGAGATTAATATTTTTATATTTGTATTTATCTTACTTAATTTATTACAGCAAAAATTAAATTTTACTTCATGAATATTTTGATTTAACAGAATATTTCTCCTATTTTTTTAATAAAAACTATTTTTATATGTATCTTAAAAACATTTGAAATATAAAAGAACTTCATAAAATCAAAAATGCCTTCAAGTATATTATTATTATTATTTATTATATGTTTTAATGCATAATTTTATCATTATATTTATAAGAATTGTTTATGTGTCCAATGATAACATTGTTAATTTGAAAATATTAAAATATATGTGAGAGTTATCACATTAATGAAGGTTTTATGAGTTTCTATTTTCAAAAATGTGTGAATAAAATAATTATTATGACAAATTTTAATTATTTAGTTGATTATAGGGCAAAATTATATATCACTAGGGAAGAGATTAGTGGGAAGATCAGAAAACATATGGAATGAAACAATAACAGGTCACTTGACCTATTGCATGAAAGGATGACGATGATTACTATTATTGTTGTCATTATTAACATCATTAATAATGCAATAAATAAGAACAGAAATCATAATTTATAATTAGGGTTGTCAGACATCCCATATATACAGAATTACTTCACCCTTTTAAAGAAATGTCCTGGTGTCCAGAAAAATTTTGTCAGGATGCCCATTTGCCCCATATTTAGAAAAAGAAATGATGAATTACAATTTCAAAATCATTTTATATGAAACAAATTAATAACAACACTTTAACCAAGTTGGATACCCCTCAATCCTGTTATAAATCATTGGAGTAGAACTGGGGAATATAACATTACTTTAAACATTAGCATAGTTAATAGTCTATAATGGCAACAGTAGATCATGTATTTACATCATTACAACAGTGCATGTGCAGTCATTTAAGTTCAAATATTCACTCATAACTTTGTAAACTGCTGATAGCTATCACTTGTTTACTCTTTTTGCTTCATCAACAGAATCAGAGTGGAGAGGGCAAGATTCAGGACTCAGTGCTCTTTAGAATGACAAAGTAAAGTAAACTCTAAAGTTTACCTTTACTTTGTTACTTTTACTAAGAAATTTTCTGTGTATAGTGGCAAAACAAAAAAGATAAGATGATAAATGTAATTAATGTTATAAATAATGAAGACCCAAATATATTAAAAAACCAACTTGGAGTTACAGGTGTTGTTTACAAGCTATTGTGCACTTGTCCAAGACCAAAATATTACATAGGAGAAATGGGAAGGAAGTTGGAGACATAGTTAAAAGAACATGAAGCTGCTATTACGTTAAAAAGACAAGAATTGCCATGGTGTCCACATTGTAATAAATTTAATTGTAAAATAGATAGGAATAATGTTAAAATGTTATATAATGTAAAAAATTGTTTAAAAAGAAGAATCATAGAACATTTTTGTATTGTAGCATATGTAAATGTGATAAATCTGAATACCAGAATGAATGTAGATGCATGCTGGGAAAAAAAAAATCACCCAGCATAAAAAGAACAGCAACTGTTAGTTCATTGTATCCACTGATGAGGCTTGACTGAAAGAAAGCAAAATGCATTTGGATTGTATGAACTTATTTAAAATAGAGCTATTGGCAATAAAGGTTTAATATTTCTTCTTTATTTGTTTGTCTGCTTAACTGAATCTCTCAAAGTCAGATAAGAAAGAGTAATTTTACTTGTTTTGGTCTGGAAATAATCTTATTTATTTTTAGAATTTACAAATTTTTTAAGAAACATCACAGTTACATAAAGCTACTGTTTTATGTAACTGTTTAGCAGATTCAAATAACACACCATTAAACTTACACTCACATCATATGGACATGACACAACATATAAAAAAGCATAGACACCATTACACAATCATGGACTCAAAAGGCACTTTTTTTGTTTTTCTCCAATTTTTCTCATAAACTTAAAAAGAAAAATTGTAAAGTAATAACATCAAAACGAAATCACAATTAAGGATTAAAATTAATGTTGCCAGTTGAACTATATATTAAAATTGATGCTGCCAGACTGCTTGACATAATATTCATCATTTAATAATAATGAATGGCTTGTAGATTTTCTTATCATGAAACTATTCTTTCATAACAGACAGAATTTTTATTAAGTTAAATTGAAATTTTTTTTATAATAGTAATTGTTAAACTGAAGCATTTTTGCATTGAGCAGAATAGGAAATTGGTGGGGGCTTCAAGATATAATCATTATACCAAAAATTCCATTAAATTGCAGTTCGTTATACTGACATTTCATTGCATTAATAATTAGATGTTAAGTAATTTGGCTAGGAATAGGAATTAGGCACCATCTGTTGATGAATTTAATAATATAAATTAACTTTTTACTTAATTATCCAAATTACTTAACATTCAATTATTAATAGTAGCATTAATAGAGCACAATGTAATTAAGCAATCATTTGGATTTAATCAAAGGATCTAGTTTTTAGAGGTTTATATTTGTATATTTTTCATCTACATTTCTATGTTTATTTCTTCAAGATATATCAAATTAATAATTAAAAAAACAAGTTATAATTTTTTTTTAAATAACATTTTTATATGCAATTTAAACAATACTTTTTATAATAGCAAATGCTCACTCATTACAAATACACTTTACTTTATTATAAAGTAAACATTTAAATTTATTTAACAAAAATATATTAATTTTATCTATCAGATAAGAATGTGAAAGAATATAAAGTTATTTATATTCTTTCACATTCTTATCTGATAAAAGATAAATAGTTAAATCATCATCAGTGTGATTAAGTTATAAAAGTACGAATTCAATCTTACTATATCAATAAGTGTAAAGGTGAAAATTATATATTTTTCGAAATTATATCTATTGATATATAAGTTATTATTTCTAATTCATGTGTATTTTAATTTGATTTGATTTATTATTGTATGGCATTGGCACATTATGAACTATATATCAATAGTTGACATTAATTTTGCTTACTAGAGATATAACTAGTACCAATTAAGAATTGGGAATGATTTCATGATCTGTAATAACCATAAAAAAACTCAGATTAGAATCATACTTGAACCTACATTTCTTGTAATAGACTGGTATCTTAGTATATACATCATTAGGCAAACTAAAATATGTTATTACTGCACTATTCTATCATAACTGATAAAAAAAAATTAGTAATATGCAAATGCCTTGCCCATTTTGTAACTACTAATAAAATTTTGCCAAAGGATAAATATTAATATTTTAATGCTAGCCTAAACAAACAATTATAATTAATTACAGATTAGGACTAACATGAATGTCTTAATGCAGAATAAAAAGATATAGAAATGTAACTATAAATGAACATTTTCTATACATATGTATATTATTTTAAAATCTGCAATCAATTATTATTATAATTATGTTAAAAGTTTAATAATGATAATTTTTAATCAATTCATTATTTTATACAATTTGATAATTTAATTTCCTATGAAATACTATATATATATATATATGTAAAACATTTTATATTCTGGATTTTTCCTTATATTATTTTTTAAGATTTTTATATTTAGAATTAGTATGAAACAAACAATTTTAAGCTGATATTTCATTTATAAATACAGTGGAACCCTGGTTAACGGACGTCCTGGTTAACTAACCCTTATTTTGCAAAAATTTTGTCTCGGATAACGAACGTAACGGTATTTTGTGTCAAATTTTAGTTGGTGTTAGGCATGCGTGAGTTAAGTATTGCTTTTCCGAGTGTTTGTGCTATACTTCTTTTTTTCAGTTTTGTGATTTTTATATTTAATCAATATGGCATCCAAGAAAGAAAAAAGTCATAGTGGCAATAGAAAACGACAACGCAATATGAACGACAATGCGCTATCGCATTTGAGAAAAATTTTGATTAAAAGAGTAAGACAATCAACTTTAGATCAATTTCTTGTTCCTTACGGAAAGTTTGTTTGTTTTGTTAAGTTATGGCAACGCAACACTTGGGCGATCTGTCTAGGGAGAATGCCTTCTGGGAGGTGTTTTTAAGGGAAACTGGCCCCTATTTAGGTGTTACAGACGTGGAGAAAAATGGAGAAAACTCGGAAAACTCCACGTGGCCAGCCCGTTTGAGCGAGGTGAGAGCTCAAGAACGAATTCCCCGTGTTCAGGGTACGAAGACCGCTTAGCCACTGGTGGGCTTTCTTACTGAGAGAGACTTCGACTCGAAGAATTTTCCAATGAAGTTTACCAGTTATTTTTTGGAGGGGATTCCCCTTCTAAGCATTAAGGTTCGTATATCTTCACTTTTCTGCCACCAACTACAACAAACGAAGGTATGTACAGTGCTATTTTATTAAACAAAGTTTACCTGTTTGTTGCTGTAATGATAGATACTACGTTTTCCTACATTTTCATCAAAGAAAATCTGCTGTATATTACAAATAAAATTACTGTACAAAAATTTCGGAGACTAGAACGGATTAATTGCATTTGCATTAATTTCTATGGGAAAAATTGCTTCGGTTAACGAACAATTCAGTTAACGAACGGAGTCGCGGAACGGATTAAGTTCGTTAACCGGGGTTCCACTGTATAATAGTGTTATCATTATCATCATCATTAGTTCCATAAGATATTAAACAATGAAAACTTTATTGTTATCTAAGTTAAGACTTTTTTACATTTATTAAAAATACTTGTATCATTTATTTTCTTCCTCATTTTATTAAAGAAGATAAATTTATCATTTAATTTATGTATTTTTGAAAATTCTAACATTTTTTTTCCATTTTTTATTAATTCATAAAAAATAAAACAGGTTACTATTTTTGTTTTCTATTTTAATCAAATTATCAATATTTAGAATTTAAAATTAATTGTGGAGAANCATATATATAATTATGCCAAATTCATTCATATTTTTGTTGTAAATTTTAAAATTAACTCCAAATACATTTCATGAATTTTAAATCTGTATATATAATCTATAAACACTGTTTGATTTCTATCATGATGTTCAAATATTACAGAATTTACTATTTGTGTCATTCAAAAAGTTAATAATAAATTAAAAAGTAATTCTTAATCAAACTATTAATATTGAATAATATCAAGAAATATTTTATTTATTCTTGTTATTATATTGTTGTTATTGCTATTGTTGGTATTTGATTATATTAATTAAATAATTTAACAGATCATCTAATAAGCTTAACAATATATCTTAACAAGTTTGTTTATATTGAGGTTAAAATAATTAACTTACTCCAACTAGGAGGCATTCTTGAAATAGCTAGCGGTAGTAAATCATCAAAAGTAGCATCCAAAATCTAAAATTAAAATAATTATTGTTATTAGTTACAGTAATTTAAATCTTTATTTATTTATAGAAGATAAATTTTGAATCATTCATGAATGAAACTCTTGTTTTTGTCAAAAGCAATTTAAGCTAAAATAGAGCTCCATTATATTTTGGATAAAATTTAATATTACATTTCTATTATCATTATATTTAAAGTGTTTTGATTGCTATTAATATTTCAATTAAATAAGTATTTTTCACTTATGAATATATTAAAAAACCTAAAGCCCAATAATATACAGATACATAGCCAAATGATTGTCTTAAATACGCAGTATTAATTCTTAAAAATAGCGATTTATAGATTAAGTATTTTGCTACTAGAGGCAGATGTTAGACACCATCTGTTATCTAAATTAATGAAATATCTGGAAGTGAAGGCTTGCTCAAGGTCCAGGTGGTGCAGCTGGCAAGCACGGCAAGTGGAGGGAGGTTGCAGATTCAAGCCCTGCCCCAGGCCAGTTTTTTTCTTCCAGATGATACTAAATTATTTAATTATAATCATTAATTTAGATAAGAGATGGCACTTAATATCTACCTCTAGTAGCAAATTATTTAGTATTAATTATTAAATATAGCAGATTTATAGCCCAAGTATTTAAGGTGATCATTTGTCTATGTATTTATGACATGAGTAACAAGGAAATTAATAAATAATTCACTTCAAAATATTTTTTTGTAGAAAACAATCATTTAACTTAAATACTTTCAATACGATTTCAAATAAATGTTTTAAACAAGTTTCAATACAAATCTTATATAAAGCTTACAAATTTAAGAATCTTTGTTTTAGTTTTTATGCTATATACTTACTAATCCTCTTATGTCTGGATAATTCATTGCTCCCCAAGTTGCAGCATAACCTCCAATAGACCACGCATATATAACTATATTTTCAGGTTTGAAACCCAACTTATTAATAGAAAATTGCATTACAACATCAATAGCATTGGCTTCATTTTCAGGAAAAGGAATACCCTAAATTAATCACAACATATTAAAATATAAAATTATAAATAATATGTTATGATTTTCAAATATTATAAAATTATCATTCTGTTTAAAAACTTACAGTACTGCCTGCAAATCCAGGATGATTCCATCCTAGGACAGAAAAACCAGCTTCTAATGGTGTACCTGTAATTCCATATTCATAAAATCCAGCATTTCCTTCACAACATATAACCTAATAAATTTATAAAATTCTTAATATAACATATAATAGTCTGAATTATACAAAGTTCATAAAATAAGCTCTCTTTTTCAATTAAAATTCAATAATTTAATATAAATTTGGTATTTTAAAGATGCCAGCTAAGTTAGATACAAAATTTTCTGTATTGTGTGTGTATGTAAGTAATTGTTTTTCTGATTTAATTTTCAATTAAAAATTTTAATACATCTAATTACCATATCTATATATACAGCAAATCCTCAATTAATGTCATTATTTGTTAAAATGTTGAGGTAAGGAACAAGTATATTTATAGACAGTCATTTACAATTGTTGTTGTTGAATTTTCTTTATACCTATATACAGGGTGTTCCGGAAATTCCTGTTACAAACTTCTAGGACTTGTAGAGGGAAGTGAGTACATTATATTTTGATTAGGAACCCATGTCCGGAAATGTACTGTTTCCAGACATGGGTTCCTAATCGGAATTTCCGAACACCCTGTATATATATATTATATAGGTGTAAAGAAAACTCAACAACAGTTTATATATATAAACTGAATTTCTGTGTGTCTGTTTGTTCAGGTATCATAAGAGAACTGCTAAATGTGCATATATAAATTTCTACAGAAATTTGTCCGTATATTCAGATAGTTCTGAAAAGTATAATGGCTACTTTTTTATTTTCAAAGTCATTTCATTTTAAGATTGCAAATCTTATGGAATGACTTTGAAAATAATCTCATAATTCTGTCAAGAGTAAATAACTCATATCTGGTTCTTATCATGTTTTTAGCATGAATGGGTAGTTTTGCCTGGAGATTGGCAAGTGAGAAGTAAACCATGAAATTTGAAATGATAGGCTGTTGTCATTAACAGGCAAAAGTGGATGCTGGTGAAAGATGATAAAATTAAATTTGACTGATCAGCTGTTATTTAAGCAAAATGTACATAGTACTGAACGTTGACATTTTTACATGTGTCAAACTGTCTCTAAAATTTCTTTTGAGGTAAACTGTTTTTGGTTAGATTATGTTGTATTGGAATTTTAGTATGCTATGTTTTTATGTTTTCTGATCTTATGCATCAAATTATTTTACTATTCAAAATCACCAGGGGTGCTGCTTGCTGCAAAGAGTGTTGGAGAACTTTTTTATGAGCTTTTTGAATTTTAAAATTATGGAAAATATTGAGTTTTGGATAATGTTGTTTGAGTTGTTCATATTGAGTGGGTTAGAATTAAATCCTGGTCCTTTTGATCATACTCCACCAAATTCACAGATTCAATCATCGGCATCTGTAAAACAACAACGTTCTCGAAGTGAACCTTCCTTGAAGTCGGTGAGATTGGAGGATTTTTTCTCTTGAAAGATAGACCCAAGTAAGTCTATTTGTAAGGAGATTATTTCATATTTGGATGACCGATTTGATGAGCATTTTTTGACTCTAAACAAGATTGTTACAAGGATTGACTGGTTGGTTAATTTACATAATGAACACAATCAACGATTAACCCAGTTGAAGGTTAATTAGAAGAAATTTCCAAACTTAAAGATGACATGCAGAAAAAAAATAGTTTGATCTTGCATTCTATAGACAAGGTGTCAAATGAAATGAGAAAGAAAAATATTTTAATTAAAGATTTGACTGACGATAGTTCTGATTTGAATAAGAAAGTGCAAAATCTGTTTTCTAAACTGATAACTGTTGGAATTGATTTTGATTCACCTAAGATAGTGAAATTTAACTTATCAAATAATGTTTTGGTGAAATTACAATCATCTGCAAACAAGAAATTAATTTTTGGTAATGTTAGAATGATAAAGGCTAATGATAACTAAATTTTTGATGATTTATGTTGGCGTTCAAGACAGACGGAAAAACTTCTGCCTTTTTTACATGATTATAGGTTGGAAGGCAGGAGAGTTTGACTAATGGCAGATGTTTTGCAGGTTGGAGCTGAGAGATATACTTACAATCTAGATAGAGGAGAATTATTAAAACTTAATTTTTTAGTGGAAAATCGAATGGCAAATTCTCAAAATCTTCATTCTCTAATCCAAAGAAGTGTACAGTTGGATTGAAAGTTTCAACATGGAATTCTCAGGGTACCCTCCTAACAAATCTGAATGATAGTGGTTTTGTTAAACATATTTCTAAAACTGATATTTTGGAACTGACCGAGACTTGGTCTACAGCTCCAGTATGTTTGAGAGTTAAAAGCATTAACTGTAGATTAAAAGTTTTTGAGGTAATGGCTACTAAAAGTTTAGGAAGGGGAATACCTTTGGGCAGATTACTTTTAGGTATAAACAAAGACCAGGGGAAGTAAACTTGCTGCTGTCATGGCAACATATAATGGCTGTTAGAGTGAAATTTAACTGGAGGCAAAATAAAAGATTACAAGAAATGATAGTTATATTGGCATATCTTCATATTCATATCTTTGAAACTTTAATTGCAAAATTGGAAAATTTTGATTTCTGATTGCATTTCAGATTATAATCTTCTGCTGATGGGTGATTTTAATGCATAAATTGGCTTGACTATGGACATTATCATGGTGATGCAATTTCAAACATCCAACTATCAAATGATAAAATTTGCAATAAAAGAGGAAATTTACTTATTGAACTAGTGAAATCTTATAATTTATACATAATAAATGGTCAATACTCTTTTGAATCATCAGCAGACTTTACTTACACATCCAAACTGGGTGCTTCAGTAATTGATTTAATGATTTTGAGCGAGAGTCTGGTAGAGAGATTGCATAAATTTTATATTTCTGAAGATTATATGTCTGATCATCATTTGGTAATTTCTAAAATCCTGATAGCTTTTCTATCCACATCAGTGTCTAACTTGATTTACATGAAAAAAAAAGACTATTCTGGAAAGAAGACAAATCCAGTTTATATTCTGAAGCAGTTTTGGCTAAATATGTAAATATTGTCTTAAGTGATGGAATAGAGCAGCAATCAGGAAACCGAGGTAAAAATGAAATTATTGGGGGTAATAAGGAATTTAGATATTTTAGATTAAAAAAAATAAAAAATATATAAAGTGTCAGAACTGAAGGTAACAACTTGATTATTTATAACAAGTTGACTTATTATAGCTGAGTAAGTTTATTATAGCATGAATGAACTCATTATAGTATTATCGGTTTTCTCCTTTTCAAAATGAGGGTGGTAATACCAACTTACACAAATATATTTTGGGGTAATGGCTAAAAAAGTTCCCCACCCCTTGGAATAAAGGATAGACATTCTGTGATTCTGGAGATGATTAAGTCATCAGCTGAACAATGTAGAATGACAACATACCTGGGAACAATGAAATTACTGTCTTCAGTTTGGTTTGAAGGAGATTGTAGAACAGTGAAGAAACTAAAGAACAGGATTCTGAGGAAATTTTGAATATCCCGTAATAATGAAGATTTAATAAAATATTGTGATTTTAAGGCAATCTTTCATTCATTATGCAAGACTAAAAAGAAGAATTACTGGTCAAATATTAGTAGACAGTTGCAGTCTGCATGATCTTCTATACAATTTTGGTCTATTGTTAATACATTTAATAGGAGAAATAAACCTGATAATCAAATCCCTCTTCATGACTGGGAACATTTTTAGAATATAACTTTTGCCATCCAAGTTCTGATTCAATTCTTGATTTTGACCATGATAATGTCTGTTAAAAACTTCAATTCGCAAACTTAAAAGAAAATCTGCTCCTGATATGGACAGTATAAAAAATGAATGTATTATATACCTATCTGATGAAATATGTTTAGAATTACTCAAACTTTTTAACAAGATTAAGGAAACATCAAAATTTCCTGAGCATTGGAAAAATGTGTTGTTGCAAATGATTTACAAGAAAGGAGACAAACTTAATCCTCAAAATTATCGTCCAATAGCATTGTTAAATACCTGTAGAAAATTGTTCACAGGAATTTCAGCAGATTGGTTGAATCAATGGATAATAGAATTTAATGTTATCTCCCAGTTTCAAGGAGCATTTGTTTGAGGAAGAGGTACTATGTACAACATCTTTATATTTAATGAATGGTTTAATACAGTATGGCCTGTCAAGAAAAAGACAAAGTCTATTCAATATTTGTGGATTTGGAAAAGGTTTTTGACAGAATCAATTTTAATATTTTATGGAAAAAGTTATAATTATTAGGAGTTTCAACTTCGTTCATTAAGCTACTTATTTATTTTGTAACACAAGGTATCACGTGAGAGGCAATCTGACAAATACTAAGGGTGCCATTTCTGGTGGTGGTTTGCCTCAGGGGGGACTTTTAAGCCCCCTGTTGTTTATATTATTTATTAACAATTTACTGCAATTGTTTTCTACCTCAGAAACTTCAGGATTTACTCTCAGAGAATCTGTTGACCAGCATTGCTTAATGTACGCTGATGATGTAGTTATGCTGGCAGATTCAAAAACGGGTTTGCAACAAAAACTCTCTCTGCTAGTTAATTGTACTAAAAGAAATGATCTTACAATTAACTTACAAAAAATGAAGGGAATGGTTTTTTGCAATGGAGGCAGACTACTTAAATCTGATAAGATATTTGTGAATAATACTGAAATTAGTTTTGTTTCATATTATAAGTATACAGGAATGCATTTTTCTTCTTCTGGTGTGTATAATCATCATTTCGATTTAATAGCCAAAGACATACAGAATAAGACAGGCTATTTGCTTACTCTACAAAAACAAAATAAGGCTAAGTTCTATGAGCATTATCATTAAACTTTTTGACACTTTTATTGGTTCTAAGATGACTCATTTATTTCCAGTCTGGGGACTGGAGTTTCTGTCTAAACTAGAAAAAGTACAGATGAAATATTTTAAGATAGAATGTTCTTTTTAAAATAGAATGTTCAGCCTCAAGTTCTGCAGCTCGTCTTGAATTGGGAAGACCTCCATTGGAATTGAAATTTGTAAAGACTATTCTTCTGTTTTGGTCAAAAGTTATGGAGTTACCCTCATATGATTTGTGCCGAATTACTTATAATGTTCTGTTAACAGCAGTTAAACCTGATAAGAAAAGTTGGCCTGCTTCAGTTAAGAATATTTTTGATAGCTTGGGTTACTCTTTTTTGTTTTCAAATCGATCAGCTTCATTGTTGAGAACTCACTTAAATGCTATAATTCAAACTGGGTCAGACCAGCTTTGGAATCAAGATATATTGTCTACTTCAGCTAAACAAGTTAATTTGTTTGAAACGCACTTGGGTTGGTGTACAGAAAACTACTTAAACTGTGAGACTAATTTTTCCACAAAAAGCCTCATTATACAACTTAGATTTAATAAATTTCAGATTCTGTTAAAGGGTTACCAGATAAATATACCAAGAGAAAAGTTTCGTAGTTATTGCAGTAGTAAAGAGGAAGAGAATTTCTTAATTCACTTGTTTGGTTTTTGTCAAGTGATGTATCAACTAGAATGTTTTGTACTAGGAGAAGATTTCAAGTATAATCATTTGAAAAATAAAGACATGTCAAAAATTACTTTATTTAAAATTTTATCATTCTCTAAATCTTTAGAATTTTTGCAATAATTTATTACTATGTATAATAAATAACATTATATAACCAAATTGTTTCCCCCATTGTAAGAAGTAATTTATATCAATAAACATTAAATTAAATTAAATTAAAATGACTGTTTTCTTCAACAAACTTAGTCATTTTTGACAATGCTGTCAAAATATGCAAAATAGCATTTTTGAAAATACTATGGACTATATAGGTATTTCCAGAATAAGAATGAATCTGATATGCTAGATCTTGAATGTGTATCGTTCTGTCACCTTAGCTAATCAATGAAGCTAGAATGAAGGCGAAAAAAATAAAATATAATAAGTACTTTAAAAATTACATTACATCATATATCATCATGTATTTTCTTTACAATCTCAAATTTCTTGCAAAATTGTTGGAAATTTCACACAGATAATAACAATTTAAATATAATTTTTCTAATATATGTTTTATACATATGTTTACTTCATAATAAACACAAAACTATTTTCCTTTACATGTGTGGACTAATGAACAATGGCTTCATTCTTAATCTGGAAAAGACTATATGGAAATATTTAATAACTAACTGAAATTATTTTAGTAAATATTAATTTTTAACTATAATATTATTTGATGTTTTTCATGTATTAGTTGTACAAAAAATCAAATACTTGACATTACTCACCAACATGTCTCCATCAGAATAATCTTTTCCTCTTCTATCAACTACTACTGTATCAATTTCATTTCCATCACGAGCAAGTAATTTGTATCTTTCACCACCATACTAAAAGAAAAAACTTTTTTACTGTTAACAAACAAAGGAAGTTAATGAAAATTTATAACTAAGTTTATTGAAAATATTTATTAAATTAAAATATTATTCTTTATAAATATATATACAGTAGAACCTCGAAAACTCGGCCTAATGTGGACCGAAGGGTGGCGAGTTTGTGAAAATGCCGGGTTATCGGGAATGGGGTTAAAAAAATAAGTATGAGTGTTTCCTCAGAAAATACTGTACTGTACTTGTATGTATTGTTTACTTGAAATATAACAGAGAATAAACTGCCCAAATACCCTTAAACAAAGGAAAAGTACGTCTTTTATGAAGGCATAGAGTCTTTACTACACGAAAATGAAAATTAATGAATACACTGTGTACAGTAATTTACCTGATAAGACAGACCTCAGAAAAATACTTTATGAGAGCTTTTATACTTTTATAAAGCTGTCTATAATGAAAATTAATTAACTAAGGATTTTTTGTCCTGCCAGGGTGTGGCCGAGTTATCCGGAGTGCCGGTTATCGAGAGCCGAGTTTTCGAGGTTCTACTGTATTAAAATAAAAATTACAAAGTATTTAAAACAGAAAGTACATATTTATAACACATAAAAATTAATAACTTGTAATGTTTTAGTGGAAAAAAGTTTATTTTCAATTTTTACAATATTTTAATAGATAAAATGCTACATTTCTCAGAAGCTGTTATTTAAACTAAAAACAATTTTTCCACTAAACTAAAACTAAAAGAACAACAGAGTATTGTAAAAAAACATTTACAAGAACCTTACTTCACTTAAGGACTTGTTACATCAAGGAGTTCCTTCTCCTTCATATAACAGATCCTTAAGTGAAGTAAGGTTTTTTATAATACTTAAAATAAGGACAAGCAGCACTGATCATAAAAACAATTAAAGATTTGAAAACAAACAATTTTTTTAGTTTCTTAAACTGTATTATTTCATTAATTTTAACAAGAGTATAAAATAAATCCAGCTATTGTAGAGAAATCAATAAATTATTTTGAAAATAGTTTTTACAAATAATTAAAATTTTTGTTTACAATAAAAAGGAACACAAGAGAACAATTTCACTTTACATTAAGAAAAAAAAATCACATTAACCAAAAATGAACTGTTCAATGTGAAGTTCTTGAAGGACTTCCATTCAGTTGATATTCATTAAACCAGAGATTGGCTGAAGCAACCATGAACATTTGTTGTTAATTAATTAAAGAAGTTGATTTGCAGGAGAAATTAAAAGTTTATGATATTAGTACTGAAACTCCAGTTGTGTGCTTTTTAGCTTCCTATCTTCAATAAACTATTCTTACAGAATTTTAACCTGGATATCAATCATCTTTTCGTAAATCATAATTAAATAGTATGTTTTTTTATAAGTATTCAACAAAATAAAACATTTTTATAAAACAATTATAATATGATATTTTTATCTCTTAAAAAATAATTAAAATTAGTATTTTAGATTTTATTATGATGATTAATATTCAATCATCATAATAAAATCTAAAATACTGATAAAGGATTCCGTAACAATAATTTCACAAATTTAATATTTTATTACATTATTTATTGATCATCTAATAGTGACAGTGGTTTTCAACTGCTGTGAATCCATTCCAAGTGTGCCACAAGACACATTAAAAACTTAAAATAACAAATATTAAAGACATAAGAAAATAGGCTTCTATGCATTACCAACTAACTATATTTCAAAAGTTTTTACCAGCCAGTTATTGCAGAGAAGATATTAGGAGTTCCATAAATCTGCTGGCTAGTCCTGTGATATTTAACAATAGCGTGCTGCAATCTTTGCTGATTGTTCAAGCATGCCAAGAGAACAATAAGGTTGGAAGCTATTAATCGTACTACTGCCATTTTTAATTAAAGCTACAGGTATTACATTTAATTTCAACAGATAGTTATTTTAATAATTTTTTTTATTAGAATAAATCTCACATATACTTTTTATAAAATTATTTTTTGCAATTTGAATGGCATTTTACAAAAGACATCATTCACGCTCTTCTATTGAAATTTTAGGAAACTAAAAATATCCTTTGAAAAGATGAATGCTTTGTTGTTCCTTATCAAGTGTTGATACTTTTCACCAAGTGTTAATTGGAAAAAAAATTAAATTTGCAATGAATGTAAAATGATAATTCACAGTTTTCTTTAAGATACAAGTTTCAGTTAACTAAAATTTAACCATTATATCTTTAAAGAATAAAAAGTTTACTAGTAATACAATACTTATATTACACTTATCTTACTCAGTAATATATTATATAATATTAATAAAAATAAATTACCTTATAAATTAATCAAATTAAAATTTAAATATAATTTTTACTTTGTACATAAAAGTTTGGAAATGTAAAATTTACCTTTTCAACAAGCTTGGTCCTTCCTTGAATAAGCATATTTTCTAAAAATTAATAAACAAAAGGTTATATTCATGTTTCTTAAAATATCAGCCAAAAGACACTAATTTTTATGAAACGTTTTTGAAATGAAATTTATATAATAAGCAATTATTGGCAAAATTTATAGCTTCTAAAGATTTTTTAATAAGTGATTTTTGGAACCCAATTTCTTCATAAATAATTTTATCTGTAATATATTTTTCATTTATATTTATTTGTGCAAAGAAACAAAGTATAAATAATTACTTCAATGATAATCATTTTAACCATTTTTTTATAGATACAGTAAGACCCTGCTTAACACAGGGGATATGTTCCTAGATGACAAAGCACTAAATGAAACAGAGCTACATGAGGTCATTTTAACACAAAGTAAATAGGGAAAGGGGAACACACCACCAAAAATAAACAATTTTACTTTAATTTTAAGTTATTTTTATATTAATTTGCATAATAATATATGTTAAATAACACAAACGTATGCACACAGAAATGTAAAGTTCATTTTTTGTGATGACTGTCCTGACTCTTGAAATTCTTGATTTTTTGCGATGAAGTTGTCTAGTGTCATTTGTCGCATTTTTTCTTTTGTTAAGCAAATGTCTATAAGGCGAATGTATCCAAAACGCATCGTCTTCCTTTTGCATTCCTTTCAAAATCTGGATCATCTGCTATAATTTGATCAATGATTTTGGTTATCATTACCAATTTACTAAGGAAATCTGTAGAGAAGTTCTTCGGGTTCTTCATTTTCAGAATCACTATTTTCCAGTTCTACATGAATTCCTTGTTCTGCCAGTTCTTAAAGGTCATTGAAGAAGCTTGCAGTAACTCCTCAATATCCTGCTTGTTTACATCTCCTAGTCCTGGTGTATTAATTAGGTTGACAATTTGGTCAACACAACGATACAGTGATAGGCTCTTCTCATTGAGAATTCTTGGATATCTTCAGCCATAAATGTATGAACGAAGTGTGGAAGAAGTTATCAATTAATTCTTGCGAAGCTGATATTGCCTACGGCATCCGTGATGTTATATTTTTTCCATAATTGCACCAAGCAAACAGATTTAAGGAAAGTACAGTGCTACGACCAATTGCCACCTTTTGCTGATTGGTTTATGTTTGGGAATAATTGTATTATATACAAATCAATGAAATGTCTGAATAATTTGATTTAGCGTAAATTTTGAGCTTTTTTTTAAGACTTCGAGCAGACCATGTTATATCGAGGCAGCATTAAGCATGGTCTTACTGTAATTATAAACTATCTACATAACATATTTATCTTACAGCTAATAGCACAACACTGAAAAAAAAATTTTTTTTAATTAATATGAATATTCTAAATATGACAAACATTATCAATATATCTGAATGAATTGGATTAAACAAAATTATGGATTTGCATAGCTGGTGCAGACTGTTAATTCATTTTGTAAATGCAAATAGTAAATATAAACTTTGAATTTATCAATAAATTTATGGATTTTAATCCAAACGAGCAATTATTTATTGTGACATCATTACAATGCCAAGCTGTAATTTTTAATCATATTTTTAATTTATTTAATTTAAAATATATGCTATCCACCTCAAATTATTAGTAGTGGCTTGCCCCTGTACATCATATTTTTCCTTTAACAATNTATATTATATAATATTAATAAAAATAAATTACCTTATAAATTAATCAAATTAAAATTTAAATATAATTTTTACTTTGTACATAAAAGTTTGGAAATGTAAAATTTACCTTTTCAACAAGCTTGGTCCTTCCTTGAATAAGCATATTTTCTAAAAATTAATAAACAAAAGGTTATATTCATGTTTCTTAAAATATCAGCCAAAAGACACTAATTTTTATGAAACGTTTTTGAAATGAAATTTATATAATAAGCAATTATTGGCAAAATTTATAGCTTCTAAAGATTTTTTAATAAGTGATTTTTGGAACCCAATTTCTTCATAAATAATTTTATCTGTAATATATTTTTCATTTATATTTATTTGTGCAAAGAAACAAAGTATAAATAATTACTTCAATGATAATCATTTTAACCATTTTTTTATAGATACAGTAAGACCCTGCTTAACGCAGGGGATATGTTCCTAGATGACAAAGCACTAAATGAAACAGAGCTACATGAGGTCATTTTAACACAAAGTAAATAGGGAAAGGGGAACACACCACCAAAAATAAACAATTTTACTTTAATTTTAAGTTATTTTTATATTAATTTGCATAATAATATATGTTAAATAACACAAACGTATGCACACAGAAATGTAAAGTTCATTTTTTGTGATGACTGTCCTGACTCTTGAAATTCTTGATTTTTTGCGATGAAGTTGTCTAGTGTCATTTGTCGCATTTTTTCTTTTGTTAAGCAAATGTCTATAAGGCGAATGTATCCAAAACGCATCGTCTTCCTTTTGCATTCCTTTCAAAATCTGGATCATCTGCTATAATTTGATCAATGATTTTGGTTATCATTACCAATTTACTAAGGAAATCTGTAGAGAAGTTCTTCGGGTTCTTCATTTTCAGAATCACTATTTTCCAGTTCTACATGAATTCCTTGTTCTGCCAGTTCTTAAAGGTCATTGAAGAAGCTTGCAGTAACTCCTCAATATCCTGCTTGTCTACATCTCCTAGTCCTGGTGTATTAATTAGGTTGACAATTTGGTCAACACAACGATACAGTGATAGGCTCTTCTCATTGAGAATTCTTGGATATCTTCAGCCATAAATGTATGAACGAAGTGTGGAAGAAGTTATCAATTAATTCTTGCGAAGCTGATATTGCCTACGGCATCCGTGATGTTATATTTTTTCCATAATTGCACCAAGCAAACAGATTTAAGGAAAGTACAGTGCTACGACCAATTGCCACCTTTTGCTGATTGGTTTATGTTTGGGAATAATTGTATTATATACAAATCAATGAAATGTCTGAATAATTTGATTTAGCGTAAATTTTGAGCTTTTTTTTAAGACTTCGAGCAGACCATGTTATATCGAGGCAGCATTAAGCGTGGTCTTACTGTAATTATAAACTATCTACATAACATATTTATCTTACAGCTAATAGCACAACACTGAAAAAAAAATTTTTTTTAATTAACATGAATATTCTAAATATGACAAACATTATCAATATATCTGAATGAATTGGATTAAACAAAATTATGGATTTGCATAGCTGGTGCAGACTGTTAATTCATTTTGTAAATGCAAATAGTAAATATAAACTTTGAATTTATCAATAAATTTATGGATTTTAATCCAAACGAGCAATTATTTATTGTGACATCATTACAATGCCAAGCTGTAATTTTTAATCATCTTTTTAATTTATTTAATTTAAAATATATGCTATCCACCTCAAATTATTAGTAGTGGCTTGCCCCTGTACATCATATTTTTACTTTAACAATACGGTCATGTTGGTCATCTATTAACTGCTTTCAGGGGAAAAGTTTTGAATTGAAACAATGTGACTTCTGGTTTGTATCAAAGTTACTATATAGTTAATTGGGGCCCTAAAGTTTCCATACCTGAGCTTGGATTTCATCAAATCTAACTCCATTCTTGAAATTAAGGAAAGACGAGATGGACGAACAACAGTGGAAATTTATAGGTCTACAATTTTTTCAAATTGCAATCCAAAAAAATTTATTCACAATAATTAAATAATGAAGTTAATATAGAGATGCAGATGAGAATGTGAGAACGTAAACCTTTGTTGTGTTATGACCACTTTTGAAGTGATAGAAAAACAGCACACAAACCTTTTCTTTGAAAAGTTTCATTTGCAGATATTTTTGTACAGATATGTAAAGGACAATAAATATACAGAAGAGGTTATTGACATTCCAGAGTTGAAACACCACATAATGGAGACAATAGCTTCAATCTCTCAAGATTTGCTACAAAATACTTGGCAAGAAATCAATTACAGATTGGATTATTGTATGTGCTACTAAAAATCACTCAGGTTAAAGTTTGCTAAATTTTTAGATGCCTGTGACTTTGTGAAAAAAAATTTTTTTAAGTTGCTACATTTTCAGAAAACAGTTTCCCCATATTTGTCATGGTTTATGTTTTATTAGTTATGTTACTCTGATCAATAAGTTGTAGATATCCTTTATATCCAAGTAAAATGAATTAAATATATTTCAATTAAGAATTAGAATATATTTAAATGAGGATTAATTTACACAAATAAATGATTAAATCTTATGTTGAAAGAGCTTATTACAGTATAATTTTTTGATAATAGTAATTGATTTGTTTTAACATTAACATTTTATTTCCTGTATGTATTCAAGATTAAAATTAATACTAAATTTTCATATTGTATTGGCTGTTGTATATTTTAAAATATTTGCAGTTCAAAAAATTACTACTTTTTTATGTTTAAAATGCTAATTAATATTTTGCTTTGTTAATAAACCTCACTGACTTATTCTAACATCTGATAAATTTATTAATTAAAATAATTTTAAATAAAATAACTAATTTAAATTATTTTATAAAATTTAGAGATCTTACCAACTGCAGCCTGTAATAATTTAACAGATCCTGGATATATCATCCTTCTACCAAATGTGTGAATGGCTATATAACTAAAAGGATTAAATCATTTAATATATTAAATAATATGTAAAATATATAAGTATATATTAAAATTTTTAAAAGCATTTTTGATATTAAATATAACAGATAATTATTTATTTTTTAAAAATTAAATAATTAAGTAGCTAAAAGATTTCATATCACATAAATTTAAATCTACAATTAATTTCTAAGTGAAACTGATTCCCTAATTCTTATTTTTTTATATAGTGTCAATTATAAAAATAAATCTTTCATTCAAAACATAAAATAAATAATTTATAAAACTTACAAATAATGAATAAGTTTTATATTATTTGAATTTCATAAATTTTCTTAATGATGTCCTAGAGCAAATTATCAATATGTAAGGAATAATCTAAAGCAGGGGTGTCCAACCTTTTTGTTTCTCTGGGCCGCATTGGAAGAAGTCAAGGAGTTTTGGGTATACTTATATATTGGGCCACAAGTATATATAATATATACTTGTGGTATAAGTATATTTAAAAATTAACATGTCTAGATTATAATAATAAGTATTAAAACTTTATCAAGAAAATTTACTTCTACAGACACTTTCAATTTTTACTTAGAAATAGATAAATTAATTTATTATAAAGGAGANTTTAATTTTAAAATAATTTTCAATTACATTTTCTATAAAAAAATAAAATGAAAAATATATACATTTAAAATATAGAATATATTAGTAAGTATAAATTTATGTTTAAAATCATTATTATATTGTGATAAAAAGTAAACAATTATGAAAATGATTAAAAATTCCACATTTTAAAATTTATTTTTCTTTCAATAAATTACAAGAAATATAAACTACATTTAATAATTATTGAATTATTATTCAATAACAATTACTGTAGCAATTGGTAAAAGTAAGATTAAGCAAGCAGCAAAAGTAGCAAGGAGAATTATTTTTCACTTCAAAACATTTTGAACTTATTTTAAAATATTATACTATCCTCATTAACAATACAAGGAATAAAATTTCAACTTTGGGTTTGTTTAGTAAATTACATGTTTATATTAATTTTTTTAATAAAAACACATTACAATATATTAACTAATTGCATTTCAATGGCAAATGTAGTTTGTTATTGAAATGTAATAATTTCAAAGCTAATCTGTCACTTATTAGCAGCTTTCTGACTTACTTTCCTGTCAATTTATAAATTTTTTAAATAAAGCATATATTTTCCCTAGTATCCAATAAGTAGCAATTTAATAATGATAATTCATTTCTTTTATTACTTTATTAAATAATTATTTTTTATGATATCATTCAATATCAATGTTCAACAATACAAAGTTTAGTATTTCAAATTGCATATTTACATATGTGATAATTAGATTTACTTATTGGTGACTTATTGTATGAAAAATAAATTTTGTAACAAAAAACAGTAATATCTATGAATCATATATGAGGGAGAAAGGCAGAGAGTATATTTTCAAATATATGCTCACCTTTTAATACTATCACATTTATAAATAAAATGAATATCAGTTAATATAAAATGTTTTACATATATACTGTATTTCACAGGAAATTAAATTATCAAATTGCATAAAATAACAAATTGATTAAAAATTATCATTATTAAACTTTTAACATAAAGTAGGTTATAATTTCACATGTATCATTCTTTATTCCTCTAGCTACAGTTTTCCCACTTGTTCTGAGATTCTTTACTAATTGCCAGAACATTTCCCCCTCTTTATACTTGCTTTCTATTTCTGTTCCAAAATTTTCCCAGCATCTTTGTTTAGCCATCTTTACACACAGTTTAGCTTTATAATTTAATAGGTTGCTTGTGGTCTTATTTGCCAGATATCTTTTATAAGCTGTGTTCTTCTCTTGTACTGCTTATCTAACCTCTTTGGTCCACCATGGAGTTCTAACCTTCCTATCTTTGCAAATAACTTTCCTACATACTATTTTTGTCAATTCTACCAACATTTTCTTGAAATTTTGCTATTCCTCCTCTAAAGCCATTTCAGTAATAAAGATGTTTAGCTGTGGTATTAACCACATTTCTGTATTTAATGGCACTTGAAAGATCTAATAATTTTTCTACTTTTATCCATTGAAGCATCTTTTTACATCTCCTATTCCTAACATTGATAACTGTTTTTAATTTGCTCAATACAAGATGATGATCACTATCAACTTCAAAACCTCTAAATAATCTTGTGTCTTCAACTAAATGGATAATGTGCTTATCTACAATAATATAGTTAATTATGCTTTTCAGATTTCTAGTGTGTTCTCTCCATGTTAATTTGTGATTCTTTTTGTGTTGGAATATTGTAAATATTGTACTGTATTAGTAAACACTGGTGAGTGACAAGCACAAAAGTCAAGCAGTCTTTTGTCATTGTTGTTAGGTTTTTCTTTCTCACAAAACTTATATAAAATGCTGCCATAGATGTAATCATTGTTTCCCACTCTATTATTAAGATCTCAAGCTAGAATTATTTTTTTATTAGTATTTGTCTCCACTGCTGATCCCAGAAGGTCATAAAATTCTTCTACATTTTCCTTCTATGAGTCTTCTGTAGGTCCATAGGCATAGATAAATCTCATTACCCAATTTCCTATTTTAAATTTTGCCTAGATGACTCTGCTAGAGTGCGCTTCTCATTCTATAAGATTATCTTCTATAGCAAATGTAAATGCTATGGCTACACCCCCCTTGCATTGAGCATCATTCCCGAGTAGATCAACTTATATTTATTGTTTAAGCTTGTCTCTCCAACTTTAATTTTCTTAGTTCCATTGATGCCTGCCATATTTGTATATTATACTTTTCTAGCTCTTCAGTTAGCTCTACTTCCTTTCCATTCAGACTTCTAACATAGATGGTGCCAACCCTAATATGTGTTCCAGTAGTATATTTAGCACTGTGTCCTTGTTTCCTCACCAACACAGCAAAGATCTTGTTGACCTGGACGATGTCCAGCCAGTATGACTTTCTGTTGATTTGATTTACCATGTTTAAAAGTTTCAACCAATAAACAGAGCCATTATGGCTGGTTAATCCTATAATGGCAGCCCATCATCATTCACTTCAATAGCCCAGTTAATTGGCTATCTACTACCAGGTTGTCCCATGGGGGTGAGGAATGGACATTAGGTTGAGTCTCTAGTTGGTTCTTCACATGTCCGACAATCTAGGGAATGTGAGGGTCTCCCTCTGATTGAAAGATTTTTCAATCAAAAAAGAAAGAAAATTTTCAATTATATAAAAATATCAGCAATATATACAAAATGCTTTAATTAGAAAATATTGCAAGTTCTAGCTATGAATAGACTATATCATAAAATTTATTTTTAAAAGCAGAAAAAAGTCTTTATTGTTGCTGTTAAATGCTGTTTGGTTGAAATGAACAAAGTCATAGCTAATATCAACACACTATAATCCATTTATATTTTTAATAATTAAATAATGTTTCACTTTATATTTACTTTTGTGTACTGTTCCAGGCAAATTCCACAGGCCATGCAAAAAAGTCAAAATCAAAACGAGAAAGAGCAGCCTGTAAAATTAAGAACCAAAGTATTTAATTACTAGAAAAAAATGAAAAACAAAATTAATAATAGTCTATACAATACTGTTATGAAAATACTGTTACCTTATTTTCTTTTGTTAGACTTTTTTGACTTCTTTCTAGTACAGAAAGAAAGTTCATATAATTGCAATTTGAACATCTTCCAATGCCTAATGAAAATAAAATTAAAATAGTGTTATTTTGATAACATTTTCTTATAAAATTATAAGTTTAAAATTCACTAATTTTTTTACCTCTTAAACAAAGACTGCTAAGTAGTAACAAACTTAAATATCCAGCAAATCTGCCTAATGTAAAAATTCCATCCACAGAATAGAATCCTATAAAAATATTATAATAGAAATCACTGTTTTAAATAATTTTTAAATTTCTAATTTAAAGCTTGTAATTATTTTTACCTCTTTTGTATAATATCGTAATGATAAATGGACACGTATAAATTATCACTGACCAAGCAACGGATATCTGAAATAATAATTATTAAATAAAAAATTTTCTGAAATTTGCTAAAATATGAAATGCCAAAATTTAATTAAATACATAAAATTGATTTGAAAGAAATTAATAGTTAATATAACCTCAACAGAAGAAAAGATAAAGTTACAACAAAATTTTTCAAGACAGATAACAGATGTAAATAAATAAGAAAATACATTAAAAATTGTTGTAATTTTAAAAATTTACAGTTAATTATTAATGGATAGTAAAAAATAAATAAATAAAATATAATTGAGAAATATTTAAAAAATGTATGTGCTAATAAAAATAACTGACAGAAAATCTTGAGATTCAAAAGAATTAATTTTAATAATATTTTTAGAGTATCAAGTCGGTTTTAGAACAACTGGGATGTTTTGGAATAATAAATGTTTAATATAATATACAACTGAAAAAACATGTAAATTATATTTTAAATTTTGCTTTGTCAAAGTTTGATTGTGATAAGAATTAATGCTGACAACAAAACTGGTTTTCAGTAAACTGTGGTTTTAGCAAAAACTGAAAGTGGTTTTGAACAGGCAATGAAAGCAATATCATTATTACAATATTGTTTTGTTTAGTGATATCATTTTGTTTACTTGTCTTTTTTGACTTTTAGTTGGCAGTAAAGTATGAATTTAAGATGATTTTACATAACTGATGTACTACCAGAAAATTTCTCTGTAATGCTGCAATTTGTATACTGCACCAATTTACCATCCTTGACTTTAAAATAATGTCATACATCACTAATGTTTAAATTTGAAAATTAAAATTAGTGTGAAAACCAGCAGAATTAATCTTAAAATAATAAAACTTTCAAATGTTACTTGTTAAATACTTAGACTCCAGTGTTTATGAACATCAAAAAAACACCAACCTCTTTTTATTGAAAATAAAACAAGAACATTTGTAAATCTTGGCTAATAATTTTTACTGTAGGACATGTGCTCCCCTACTTATGAAACAGGTTAGGTTCTCGAGGTTTTGTCGTATGTGGAAATGTAAGTTTAAAAGTAACCTCTAAAGCACATTTGAACACAGATTAACCACATATTGTTAATGTTTGATCCTTTGATATACTTAATAGAATACATTATTCTCATGTACTGTACTCACTACTGCTTAGTAGTGGGCGCTTCAAACACAGTTTTTTTCACTTAATGCATTTAGTTTTATAATGTCCACTTTAGTTTCCATTGTAATAGAGAATCTTAATAAATGCAAGAAGTGTCAATGTCTCAGAGACTCAGGGCTCAATTGCACATGTTTTCTAAGGAAAAGAGAAAAAATGAGCACTCTCCAATGAGGAAAAGTTGACACTGGTACTCGGAGTCCTGGTGTAGATTATGGCGGGCTTTGTTGCCACTGTGGTTACGATGGGTTGTGTTGTCAAGGACCTGTTCTTGGCTACAGTAAGCTGGATCACATGGAGGGTCTCATTCTCATTCTCCAATCTTCTTTGCTGGTTTGGTATTGCTGCTTTTGAGCACAATTGTTCAAACTTTGTTGGCCATGGCAACAAAGCATTTTCAGTGAAATTAACCTATCCAATGTCAAAATTTCTCTCTGTTGTGTGTCACCCCTGGGTAGAATTTTTGCCGATGCCTAATGAAAATTTCCCATTTTTGAAAAAATAATTGTGGCTATTGTATCATCTGAAATTATTTTTTTATTTTGCACAAACAAAATAAATATAAAAACAAAAAAAATTATATTTTGGAAGTTAGTTTTGATATTAAAAAATTATAATGACTAGCACCATCTAGTTTCAAAAACGTTCCAATTCTGAAACAAGATATGTTGAGTCAACCGGTCGAGGTCAGCACATTGCGACCAGATAGGTTGGGAATAACACAGGACAGGTAAATGGGATTTTTCAATGATTCGTTTGTCAAAATTTGATTTTGCAACGTTCGCATTTCCAACTTCCCAACAAGCAACACATGCGCAAATTTCACACTAGTGCCTGTTTGTAGAAAGTGTGTTGCCATTTTGTATTTTATTTTGACTTGGTTCTCAGTCCCCCGAGTACCTACAAGTCTGATTTTTTTTGTGTGTGCACGATTTGGAAACCTAATACTCTGTACCAAATTGAAACTCCTGACATGTATTCATTCATACCTCTATGGTATGGAGCTGTTCACAGCACCACGATTTTATAAACATGACATAGCCTTGTCAATATTTAACAAACAAAAAATTAACTAAATTTTTTTTAAACGATAAAGTGACTTATGAACCATTCTGTATATATTATTGAGAAATCAAAAGAGTGAAAAATCAAATTACTAAGCAAAGAGAATTCATTCAATCATTGTACTACTATTAAATTCATGCATAAGTTAGGACAACATACAAAAGATCATTTTGAATTAGTTTAATTCAATATAATTTGAATAGAAATTCTAATTAGATAGATATGGAACAATGATATCAAGAAATTACACTTACGGATTTTACAACAGTGTCAGAGTAAGCTTCCACAATATTAGCATTATACATACTTCCCTGAAAATAAAATATACATATGTATAAGAATATACTTTATCATCAATTTTTCATTTCAAAAGTAAAGGATTTCATCATGAAATAGTTAATGAATAAAAAATACATATTTCAAAAAATATAGAATTTTATTCATTATTGATTAAACCTGTATTTAAAATTTTTTAAAAGTAACTCAATATTTTGAATTAATTTTAGCTAAAACTTTTGACCAGTCTTTCTTTATTTATATGATATAAAATAGAAATTTTAAAAGGTAATTTATGTAAGATTTTCTGATTGTACATTTTCTGACTATTTTATAAAACAGAAAATCCAACATTAATTCTTATCACTCCTAAATAAGAATTATTAATTCTTTTGTTCTGTTAGTTTAAATTAAATAAATACTATATAATCTAAAGTTTTTTCAATTTCTTAGTTTTTATTTGGATTTTTTTTAAATAATGGATTTTTTGGACAGTTTTGCTATACTGTACAAAATATGATAAACAAATTGCTAAATTATTTGACTTTTAATAAGGCTAATTTTTTAAAACTATCAATTTCATTTCACTGAAATAAAAACAAATTACACAGATACAGGATAAAAAACAAAAAATAAAAAATAAAATAAAGCATTCAGCATTTACAAGATGAACCCTAACCATGAATGTATATATAAAAACAAAATTTTATTAATAATTATATGAAGGGACTATCCATAAATTACATCAACATTTTCCTCAAAATTTTTACTCCTCCCTCTTGTCCCAGTTTGTCCAAGTTTCAAAACCCCCCTTCCTTCTTCGGATGTCCTACAAAACTCAATTCTCCTTAAAACCTTTATCACTCTATGAATTATAGATACCACAAGTAGGAATGAAATGTACAAGAAATTCTGATAAAATGCAATGAAAGAAACAGATGTCCACTAAAGCTCAAATCCCCCTTGTCTGACTTTCTTGACCTCCCTTCCTTCTAGTGTAGATGTCATTTATGGACAGTCCCAAAGTTATATATAAACAATACATTTTTAGATTAAACAAGGGTTGCCCAAATGAAAAGTGGATATGTGACATATTTCATTGTGCAAAGTAGCAATTGGTAGGCCACTTTACAGGTGAATAAGCTCAAAATTGCTGAAGCACAGGCTGTATTAAGTATTGGCAGGAACAGATTTTATTTCCAGTAATTGGCAAATTAATGATAAGTTAGTTACGATGGAAGTGTCAAGAATCAAACAATGGGTGATAATTTGGTTTTTAGTAGCTAAAGGGACTAGGAATGCTGACATCTATAGACAAATGAAGCATATTTATGGGAAACATTATTTAGGATGAACAGCAAAAAATAATTGGTGCAAGAATTACAGAAAAAGCCGCACATCAATTCAGGATTAATCGAGACCAGGTAAGGCACACACCATAATCTCCATTGCATCAATCACTGTTGGTTGACTTTAGGCCTCATACACAATGATCAACTCAGAATGTTATTGCAAAACTATTGTCGTGGCTGTGCAAAGCAATAAAGTCAAAATTTGCCCAGGACTCCTTTCACAAAAAGTCATCCTGCTTCACTACAATGCCCATCTCCATTCAACAAATGTAACCTTTGCCACATTACAGAAATTCCACCGGGAGATACTAGAATATCCACCATATATTCCTTACCCATTGCCATGCTACTTTCCCATTTTCAAACCTCTCAATAATGATTTGCAAGAGAAAAGTTTCATATTCGATGATGAGGTGAAGGATAAGGTCAAAGAATTTTTTTACTAGCAGCCACCAAAATTCTATTTGAGGGGCATCGATCCACAGGGCCTGCTCTAGGAGCAGACAACCCGGGCATTTGTCTAGAGTGGCAAATCTAAAGGGCGGCATTTTGGCTGTGAATGTGACAAAATACTTAATTAATTGAAATTTATATTTGTCAATTTTTTTCTGTGGCTAAAATTACCATGCAATTTATATTTTGTATTTATTATTTTTGCCTAAAAGTTAAGAAAATATTTGCATTCCTTAATACTGAAGAAAACAACCATAAAATAATGCTTTTGGGCAAAAAAGGAAAGCATAAGCAACAATGTTAAATTTCGTCCCAAACCATAGTGTCACCTTAAGAATACTGCCGATCATTCCAATAAATATAGCTAGTGGGGAAAAGGAGTTTCTCTTAATAAAATTTAATTAAAAACTTTTTACATTTAACTATCACGCAAAATCATCTTAATAGTTTGGCCATTTTGGCAATTGTGCATGAAACTGCCAATCATGTAGGCTTAAAAGAGTTAATAAAAACGGTTGGAGAACTAAAAGTGAGAAAAAGTTTCTTTTGATTTTAGTATAGTTGATGTACTTTTGTTTAGTTTTTATAGGATATAAGTTTTTTGTTTGCTTGTACAATAATACATTTTTGTAATATCATTAAAAATGCATCTAGTTAACAATTTGTAACTAGGTACAGGTATATTTTAATTTTTACTGTTTTGTATCAATACTACTTGATTGTTAATTTTATATTACATGTTTCTCTCTGAATAAATTTAAGGGGCGGTAATTTGTCTTTTTGTCCGGAGCAACGTAAATGCTTCAGCGGGCGCTATCAATCCACTTGTGAGACACTGGATCTTTGCCTAAACAAAACATGATTCACAATAAATGTTTGCCAGTTCTGATATGTGTACATTTTAAATTGGGCAACTCTTATATATAGATTTATTTATTTATTACGCATACTGGATACACTTATTGATGCGTGGAGCAAAACCATCTCTCAAAGAACAAAACACATACCGTGTTTCTCCGAAAATAAGACAGTGTCTTATATTAATTTTTGCTCTGAAAAATGTGCTAGGTCTTATTTTCAGGGAATGTCTTATTTTTTCCAGGAAGAAGAATTCACATTTATTATTGAACAAAAAAATTCTCAAGTCGAACTTAGACGAGAGTGACGTATATCCGGTGTGTCGAACTGTCGCCTTTTTATAGCGTCAACATCGGACTCGATGACCAATTAGTACTTACTGAACCGTAGCACTATGCAAATGTCATGTGGCGTGATTCCCGGCCGACCAATTAGCCATCACCAGCCGTAATGTTATGCAAATCTGTTATTCCCAAGCCATAGTCTTATGCAAATCATGCCGTGTGGCGTAATTGTCTGCTGACCAATCAGTGGCTGTACTTTCAAAAAGCCAACGGCCAC